TCTGCGAAGCCGGTGGGAGTTGCGCCAGCGGCGGTCTGGGCCGCAGCGGGAGGGTCGACCGTGCCGGGAAGCTCGTTGACGTTAACCGCAGAGATCGTGGGCGGGTAAGCGTTCGCTGAAACGCGGGGCTGGCGCTGGGCGTTGGGCTGAGCAGTGCGGTCGATACCGCAGCGCTGGAGGCACTCGTCAACGCCGAGGATGACGTTGTCGGGGATGAATGCCTCGAGGTCGAGGACCTCCTGAACACCGAGGCCACCGAGAGCGGCGCCGACGATGTCCGGGGGAAGACCGAAGAAGCGCTGGGCGACCTGCTGCACGCCCGGGTTCTCGCCGTTGAAGCCTTTACCGTCTCATGAGGAGGGGGATCGCGAAATATCATCGATAATGAACTTACTGGCAACGAACATGGCCTCCTCGCAAGTCGGGTTCATCTCGAAGTGGATGGCACCCTGGGGGAAGATGGTCGCGGTACCGGGGCGGATGTCGATCTCGGCAAAGCGGGCACCGTTCTCGATCAAGACACCACCGCGGAGGGTTGTGTTGACGGAGAAGTTGATCTCAGTCGCGCGAGGGTGGGTGTGAGGGCTGTTCATGCCGCAGGGGCCAAGGTAACCGATGGCTGGGATAGATATCAGGATCTGCTGAGAGCTGAAACTCGAAGAGTAAGCAAAACGTACTCATGGAGACACCGTTGCCAACAACGGCGGGGAAGTTGGCCGAGTCGGCGGCCACAGTGTGGCCTGCGACGCCGGTGGTGACACCGATGTCACCCTTCTCCGCGGCATTGAAGTCGAAGACCGAGAGCTCATCAGTGGTGATCTTGAACTGGTCGACCTTCGTAGGCGCAACACGGAGCTCCTGAACAAGCTCGGCCACGGTAGAGGCGTTAAGACCCGCTCCGAATGCGGAACCAGCGAGAGCGAGAAGGCTTGCGGAGATGGTAGCGGAGAACATGGTCGTCGTGAATGAAAGTCGTAAGAAAGAATAAAAAGGCAGAAGAAGAGAAGATGAAGAAGAAGAAAGAGGAAGAGAAGAGAAGATGAATGGGGAGGAGGAAGCGGCGGGCGCCTCCTCTTATAGCTTGGGCTTCGAGCCCAGGCGGCACTGCTTGCTCACCGCCGGAATGGTTGTCAACGGCGTGCAGCGTCAGCCCGAAGACTTTGCGCAAGGGTCGCAGATAGCAATCAACGCAACCCTGCACGCAAATCATAACGGCGTCTCATATTCGTGCCAGCATTGTACTTGGCCGACTGCGTCGGCGGGGAGCGGCGCTCTGTGATGCGCCGCTCTCACGCACGCCGAATGTGGACCCACATCCAACGACCAGTAGACTTCGCACCCAACGCAGCGCGCAGACGCCAAGAAGCAGCAGATAACGTAGTTGCACACGGCAAGGCAGTCTCGTACGTGAGTAGACTACAAGCGTCAACGCGACGTCGAGACGCTCAATCGTCATACTGCGGGCACCAGATGGCATGTTTTGGGTCCCCGCCTTCTAGCCGCAGGCTTTGTCATGTTTGCGGCGCCGATGTATAGCACTGGCGCCAGGAAGGGTATCGTTGTGTGGTTGTCGTTTACCGTAGTGATGCATAGTCTGGGATGGATGCGAAAGCGCCTCAGAACGCCTGCAAGTTTTCATGTGTGCCGCAGTCGCAGCAGATCTCTCGTTTCCCTCCTCAAGTTGAAAGAAGCTTGTAAGGAGGGGAAAGACCCGGGAGCGAAGGAGGAAATCGCAGACATGGCGGTTGTAGATAGAAAGTAGGGTCCGGGCGGTATAGCCGGAGTCGCGTCGCGGCAGAGCATGGGAAATGCCCCTATCACGCGTCGAATCCACTGGAACCAGAATTGTGGTTGTACAACCACACTTGCCTTCGACCATATAAAGCGGGGTTCGCATCATGCACGCACTTCACTTGACCCACCTCCAGTGCCATGGGAAACGAGTTCATATAGTAAGTTCTGCGATGGCGTTTGTTCGTTGCCATTGGGGTCCGTGTTGACATCATCCGACAGCGTTAACCTCGACGCGCGTGAACAAGGTATTCGCTACTATGCTAGGATAGACGAAGACAAGCTAGACCCCAAGAAGAAGCTTCTGCGCCGCTTATACGATCCGAATATCATCACGAAGCGAGTTTTTACGGAGGAGGAAGTGTATGTTTCGTCTCAAGTCTCTACATAGTTGACCGCACTGACATACTCGACACAGCCTTCCAGTATGCTCCTTAGATCAGAGACCTCACCTTGGGCAGCTCAATATTGCCGCAGAAATTTGGGACCTCATCCTCTCCCACATCACGGACCTAATCTCAGCCGCATGCTTCGGCGCGGCGCACCCGCTACTCGCGCATTGCGCTCTCGAGCGCATGCGAGACATTGAAATGTCGGTCGAGGGCGTCAGCGCATGGGCAGGCCACCGCATTGCGCTCATCAACGACACGGATTCTACCGCACTGCCTAGAGAAGTCTACACTGCAACTGAGTGGGTCGAGTGGGACGTTGAGGAGAAAGGTATCCGGCACATGCTCGAGAAGTGGCCGGACGTGGAAGGCGGCCCGAAGCATCCCGTCCACGGCGATGAATGGACTCAGTATGGTGGACCGCTAGGAAGAAATAAACGCATAAAGAGTGCCACTGTGCGCTGGGAGAGGATGGATCCGGAGAAACATGGCTGGCGCTATCGCTCGGACGAGGAGAGGGAGCGCGACATCGACTATTCCCGCGTGCACGGCTACCTCAATTACATCGAGTTCATCGAGATCTACTACTTCCATCCTTCAAGCGATGTCGACTTTGTACTCTGCAACGAAAGCAAGCGCGAGTACGTTCTTGCGCCGGACGTCGCGTGGTTCTATCATCCTTGCCAGTTCGACGGGCCTGACGTGCGGGCGAGCTGGACGCTTGGTGATACGGCAGGGTTCCTTGTTTGCTGGGACGTCGACGGGAAGTGCGGGCGCGGAGAGGGACCATGGGCCGGAGATCGCATTCGTATCACGTCGTTTGAGAACATGGAAGCCATGGGGGGAACAGGAGAATGGACGGATATTGGTGGGGAGGATGCGCAGTTATGGAAGGACATTAGCGCGTTTCTGGATAGGTACTTCTCTTACGACGACAAGACTTGGAAGGACAATTATCATAGGGTCAGAGATAGGTACTACCCTCCAGACAGGGGGTTCTTTGGGTGGCACATCTAGTCCAGTTCATAGGGCGGACGGTACTGGTACAGTATGGCACTCTTGGTGGCAACATGTATTACTCGTACCCAGATGCAGATGTGATCATCATACTCCCGGCCCAAATCAGACTATATGCAAGTCGCTGGCCCTTGTCTGGTCGAACTTGCCTGTAAGTTGATGGTGATGGTCCTGTTGTTTGTCTTGAGGGTACGGAGAAGCGGAGAGAGAGAAAGCAACGGCGCTTGGGAGATTCTGAGCGTTGCAATCAACAGTAATATTGCGCTATGGCGTCCAACATTGAACACCGTACGGTTATACCAGATACATACTGAGACAAACGGTGGTACTACATGATAATTGTCCAAAAAGTACAGAAGTTCATATAATCAACAACCGTTCAACTCAAGCCAGTGCCTCCAGCCTCTGCTGAATGCTCGTCCACCCCGCGAGCTCAGACTCCTCCGAAGCCACGCGCTTCTGCACGATGCTCCTGGCAACAATAGCATCGACCTCATCCAGTGCATGCTCACGCTCAGGAGATGTCCTACG